AGCTGTTTTAAACCTAAAATGTCTCTCTCTGGTCTGAATGGTCACTACCTAAACCCCAGCACCTACAGCCACTCATGAGTCGGTGCTAGTGCAGCCTCTGCAATCCAGGGAGTGAATTGTGGAGGTTCTGTGAATGATAAAAACTTGTGTCCTCTGTCTGCAGGTTACGTTCACTTGTGATTGCAGTATATTTTTTTCAAACCAGAAAAAGCACAGGGTACCTTAAATTATTGCATTGGTTTCAGTATTTAGTTCCCATTTCATTTTCTACCGATAAGAAATTGTAATTAAAAGCAATTCTTACTTCAGGTTCACTGGAGGAGCATCCTAGTGCTAGTATAGCGTTGAAAAATGGTGTAGTCACTTCAATCTTTAAATTCTGGAATTAATGTTTTTTTTGTTTTTGTTTTGTTTTGTCTTGTCTTGTTTTTGTGGTGCATAAAGGTCTTTAGTCCTGCTGAAAGCCTCCCTATAGTCTGTTGTACCCTGTCTCTCTCAAGTGTCTGTGCTTATGGAAAATTGGCTTGTGGTGGATGTGATTAATTCTCTGGCGTGCGGTGAGGGCTGGTGTGTATTTTTAGGGCTCAGTTTCACTTGATGCAGGTGCAATGGTGATAATTACACTTCCACAGTAAATTAAAACAGCTCCGTTCAATGCATGATCTACATTTTGCTTAAAGTGTTAATTGACATTTCACAAGGTGATACTTTTTAAAACACTACGGTAAATCTGATGTCTCTCATCTGCACGGTGATTTTATAATGTCTGTAATTACAAGTACACTCTGTAACTTGGAGATGGAGTTGTTGTTTTGTGTAGAATAGTCCACAGTATGGCATTATACTGATCTATCTCCATGGAGAAGAAAGTCCCATCATTATGAGTCTTCCATGTATCCTTTACTAAGTCTAAACTAAAGGAAGTAATACCCTGATAAAACTTTTGTATACAGAGAGATTTCTTACTGGAATAAGCTGCTTCCAGCCATTATGGAAATATACAACTGTCTTACTTTTAAAGGTCCTATATGACACAAAACTGTCTCTTGTGAGCTTTAAACCATGTTAGAATGTTGTTACCTCATCAAAACATACCCGGAGTTGTTTTGTTTCATTTATACATATTTGAGTAATCCTGCATTATTAGTCTGTCTACATCTCCAAAACTCAAAATGCTCCTAACGTCCACCTTGTGACATCATGAAGCAGTAATTTTAAAGTTACCAACAACACACTCAGTTACTACAGGTGTAAATTAGTATCAATGCTATAACCTGGCACCAACACCTTTCCTGTGACTTAGTTCAGTAGATTGGCAATTCCAGGGCTGAAATTATCCAAATTATTCCAGTGAAGGTGTGTGGAGAGTAAATACACATCGGAGCACTGTATTACCACATGACATCACAAGTTGGAACAGTGTTTTATGTTTGAGAAAAGAACTCAGCTTAAATATTCAGTGTTTTGTGTTAAATGTGTGTGAATGAAACAAAACAACAAACTCCAGGTACCGTATTTTTCGCACTATAATGCGCACCAGATTAAAAATGCAGAGATTGTGGGATATACATGTGAATCAAGCAAAACCCAACTTCAGATATGCTTGCGAAACAACATTATAACATAGATCAGAAAATAGTGTAATATGGGGCCTTTAAAAACATGGTGAACGCTAACTGAGCATTGTGATTCATTTATGTGTATGAGTTTTTGCCTATTTCCCGAATGATAAAGGCACAGTTAACATTATATTTAAAGATGCATTGTGTAACTTGTTTGATAGAGGGTCCATCACCTTGCTTGAAACCATGGAGATGTGCCTAGAATGTTCCTCATTATATCCATAAACGTATGAACCTCCATGGAGACTTGCAAGCCAAATTACAGGTTAGATTTGTGAAGAGACGACCCCGCTCTCAGTAAGAATGGATGTTTTTTTTAAATATTTTTGAACACTTAAACACCTGTAGTTGGATAAATGAAAGAGAGATTAGTTCAATGCCGTACTCTGGAGACCAAAACCAAAACCCAAGTATTAAAAGTACCAAAGTAGTAAGCAGACCCATCACAAGAAAAGTTACACAAGATTTTACAAAACACTTTACAATATTTTCCCAGTTTCCCAATTTTGGTGGTTTAAAATTTTACTTCTTGGTTGAAATTATGACATCATGCTAGTGAATTAGCAAACAACCACACTGTACAGTAGGACATATCTTCTCTAATGTACACAGACTTTATTATTTGACAAATAAAAATATAAGAAAACACCTTTATTTTGTAGAAATAATGTTTAAAGTGTCCGAAAAAGAGTGCATGTAAATTGTGCCAAACTCTTATAAAGTTGGCATCACACCCCCAAGAACTGTTGATGGCATCAGCTGTAAAGTATCAATATTTAGAATACTGTGAATATTTTTTGTAGACAGTATTCCCGTGTATTGTGTGTGCCCCACTTCCATATTAAACTGAGTCTGTGTTTGGTCCAGTGTGAACAGTGGGGCTGCTCCTGTTCTGTCACTGACTAATAACACACCATTACACCTCCTTGGACTCATTTTAGACCCACCCTGCTAACTTTCTTTCCTTTCCTTTCCTTTCTTTTCTTTTCTTTTCTTTTCTTTTCCTTTCTTTACTTTCTTTTCTTTTCCGTTCCTTTCTTTTTAAAAAAAAACTTTCTCTCCTTCCTTTCTTTTCCTTTTCTTTTCTTCTTTCTTACTTTCTTTCTTTTTCACTCTCTCCATCTCTCTCCCTCCCTTTCTATCTCTCGCGCTCTCGCTGCCCATGTTGTACTATGACCCTCCTTCTCCTTCTTTCTTTCATTTTCTCTCTCACTACCCCTCTCTTTCTCTCTCTCTCTCTTTCTCACTATGTCTCTCTCACTCTCTCCCTCAATCTATCTTTCTCTCTATCCTCTCTCTCACCTCTATCCCCCTTTCTCCCCTCAATCCCCCTCTCTCCCCCTCTCTCTCACTCTCTGCCCCCGCTTCACTATGACCCTCCATCTCTTTCACCGTCTCTGTGTTTTTCTCTCTCCTCGTTTCTTTTACCCTCATTATTGTTCAAAGTCTCTTCCTCCTCTTCTTTCTTTCTCTCCCCTTATTTTGCCCTCACTCTCTTTCTGCCTCTCCTTCCCTCATCTCTCATTCTTCTCTCACTCTCTCCTCCTCCCTGTCTGTCTCTCCCTTCTTTCTCTTTCTCCTCCTTCCATCTCCTGTTTCTTTCTCTCTCTCTCTCTCTGTCTCTTTTCTCTCTCTCACACACACACAAGCACACACACACACACACACACTCATTGCTCCTCCCTCCTCTTTTTCCTCCGTCTCTCCTCCCTGCTTCCCTCCCCTTATTTGACTCTCCCTCTCTCATTGCTTTCTCTTTCTTTCCCTCTCACTATCTTCCTCTTTATCTGTCTTTTGTCCTCCCTCTTTCTCCCCTCTCTCTTATTTTTTTCTCCCCTTACTCTTCCCTCTCGTCCTCCTCTTTTTAATTCTTAATTCCGTCTCTTATCTTCCTTTTCTCTTCATCTCTCTCCACTCCTCCATTTCTCTATGTCTTTCTCTCTCTCTCCTTCACATCTCCCCCTCTCCCTCCACCTCTGTCTCTCCCTCTCTCCTTTCCATCTCTCCTTTCTCTCTCTTTCCCTCTCTCTCTTTCATTCTCTCTTTCTCCCTCTCTCTCCACTCCTCCATCTCTCTCTCTCTTTTCTCTCCATCTCCTCCGTTTCTACAGCAACCAGCAGTCCTTCTCCTGTATATAGCATCTTGTAGGATTTTGGAAGAAGCTCTTTTTGGACTCAAACTGAGAAATGAATCATGCACTTTTACTGTAGGACTCAACACATATTTCATTTGTTTATTTATTGACATTTTAAATGATAAATATCAGGCATTTACTTGTTTTCATTGGAACCATCCTTTAATGCACAAGGATTTTTGTTAATTTTTTATTTAGTTTGCCCTGAGTAACTAGGCATTGAATCCTGCTGTTATCCTCTATGTAAATGCTGGTCAGGTCACATTATTATTTAAATATTTCACAGTATGGCATTAAACCTTTCTATCACCATGGAGACCAAACCAGACCAAGTTACAGGTCAAATCTGTGGAGAGGTAACCCCACTCACAGTCAGAATGTCTGTTTTTCTATGTATTTTTGAGTTATAAAGCCTCCAGTAAGTGAATAAATGTAAAGTAGAACTGTTTAATGTCATACTGTGGTATATTTCAGGCGGAGCAATGACATATCCATAGAAACAAGCAGGTGACAGACCCCCAACCAAAAAGTTACACTTTTTCTTACCTATTGTGCCAGTTGCGTAACAGATTGTGTTTTAACAGTGTTTAAATCGCAAAAGAAAATATAATTCTGCATTGTGCCCCTTGAAAAAGCACAATTTAAAGGTGCACTATGGAACTTTTTGCTTGGGCGTCCTTCACCTGCTTATTTCTATGGATATGTCATGCCTGGAATGTTCCACAGTATGACATTAAACTGCTCTACCTTACATTTAATTTAATTATAGGTGGTTTTATACTGTAACTCAAAAATACCTAGAAAAACAGGCATTCTGACTGAGCGAGGTTGCCTCTCCACAGATCTGACCTATAACTTGGTCTGGTTTGGTCTCCATGACGATAGAAAGGCTTTTAACACCATACTGTGAAACATTCCAGACAAAGCAATAACATCCATGGAGAAAAGTGTTTGACAGAGCCTCCACCAGAAAAGTTCCACTTTTCACTTACCTTATGCATTCTGAGTGACCTAATTGACCGGGATGAGTTTATAAGCACTTTTCTCAACTTTCAGAGACCAGAGCCGAGTTTTGCCAGCTAGCATGCTAATCGTGCACTTCTGATTATCGCTGCTTATACAATAGATCTGGTACAAGACAAATCGGGTACAGGGCCTTTAAATCATGAATAAATAAAATGTTACTTGAGGGAGACGTGCATTATAGGTCCTCTTCCTGAAACTGTCCCTTGTGTTTTGTGCAGTGACTACATCATAAAGGAGAAGACTGTGCTGCTGCAGAAGAAGGACAGCGAGGGCTTTGGCTTCGTCCTCAGAGGAGCCAAAGGTAAATAGCTCTACACCTCACCTGATACTGAAGTATAAAAATGCCATAATGCTGGTATTCAGTAACTAAGAATTCTTCCCAACACTGCTCAGAGCTCATTTCTTCATCTAATTTGTGTCTCAAATGTGGAATCTTTGTCATTTGTCCGTTTGTCTTTCCTTGTTGAATACAGTTTACTTTAAGCCACCACATCTGTTCTGTGTATCTCCAGCCCAAACGCCCATAGAGGAGTTCACGCCGACCCCTGCCTTCCCCGCTCTGCAGTACCTAGAGTCAGTGGACGAGGGCGGTGTGGCCTGGAGAGCCGGACTCAGGATGGGAGACTTCCTCATAGAAGTAAGGAACGAACTCAAACTTTGCCATTTCTGAAACAAATTCTTCCTTTTTTTCTCCTCCCACTTCTCCTCAACTCCTTACGGAAATATCCTTTACAAATACACTATGTTCCACCTTGTGATGTCATGTGGCAATACTGGAAGCTCTCCACTGTGTTTTCAAACCACAAAACATAAACACAAGTAAAAGCCACCAAAACATAATTTAGTCAAAAGATTTTTCAAATATTATTATTTTTTTAAGTAGATGAATGAATAAATGAATATAAAGTGCCTGCTGGAGTATTAAAGTGCATTGTTTAAAGTGATCACTGCCTGTGAAAAGAAACTTTGGATAATTTCAGACTTGAGACTGCCAATCTCTACTGAACAAAAAGTACAAGGCAGCTGTTGACTTGCACACTACCACTTCATGACGTCACAAGGTGGAACAGAGCATTTTGAGCTTTGGAGATGTAGATAGACTAATAATTAATGATTACGCCAACATGTGTGAATGAAACAAAACACAACTCCAGGTATGTTTTTGATCAGGTAACAATATCAGCAAGAGTCAATTTTACGGAATATAGGACCTTTAAGTATAATGTCAGAAAACTACTACCTTATAAGTCTAACTACACCTCTGAGACCTGGTTATATTCAGTGATGTCTGCATAGTAATGTTACAGAAAGGAGACAGTGTACATAGAGACAGAATTAGATTAGTGAATGTTAAATGTGTTGGGACAAACAGTAAAGCAGTGCTTGTCTTGTTCAGGTGAATGGTCAGAACGTGGTGAAGGTGGGCCATCGTCAGGTGGTGAACATGATCCGACAGGGAGGGAACAGCCTCATGGTGAAGGTCGTCATGGTAACACGCAACCCTGACATGGACGACGGCACCAGGAAGAAGAGTAAGAGACACACTGCTGAAATTTAGATCTCCACACTGTGTATTTTTTCTGCTATGCACACCACTTTGGAGCAGTCAAAAATAAGAACAGTCTGCAACTTTTCTTTACACGCTTGCTCCTCCACAAACCTGAGTTGTGTTTGGCCTAAAAAGATCCTCTTCTTACTTGCTTCCATGGAAATGTTGTTCCTCTGGTCATAATATTCCACAGTATGGCATAAAACTTATCTGTTTCCATGGAGAATGTGTGGTTTTAACTTTTTATTTGCCTATCACATGGCACTTCCAGAAAGTTACACAGTGTTGATTTAAGATTCAATACACACCTCTGTACCTTTAAAGGAGTGCTATGTAATTTTCTGATGGGGGGTTCACCAATTCTTTGTCTCAGTATAAATGTTATTGCTTTGCCTGGAATGTTCCACAGCATGGCATTAAACTTCCCTATCTTGCATTAAGTCATTTCCAGGTCTTTTTATTGGAACAAAAGCATTTGACCTATAACTTGGCCTGGTGTTTTCTCCATGGAAATTGATAGAGATGGATGAGTTTAATGCCATACTGTGGGACATGATTATTGTACTAATATAGTATAATTTTAACTTTTTATATTTTTTTCTTCACCTGTTTCTGTCTAGTTCCTCAGCAAAGCAAGAGATTGAGCACTCCAGCCATCGCCCTAAGGTCCAAGTCTATGACATCGGAGCTGGAGGAGATGGGTGAGTCAAACCTCCCCTAGACTTAAATACAGTGAAAGAGAGAAGATTTGACAAGAATGAAACCTGATATCAAACCCAAACACGAGGCAGCTGCGCCATAAGAGATGCATATGAAAGTGCATATGTGAGGTGAAGAGGAGAGAGTGTGAATGCGCTGGGGCTTCTCAAGATGTTCGAAGTGAGAAGAGGATGTGAAACTACAGATGAAATTAGTGCGATTCAAATATACAAGGATCAGGCATTACATTATGACAAGAGACAAATTAAAAACTAAAAGGTGGTAGAGGAGCAAAAAATTGTACTCAAGTAAGCGTAACGTTACTTCAGCATAATATGACTCAAGTGGAAGTACAATGTAATGGTCCAAGAAAAAATATTTGGGATTAATATTTCTTAGAGAAAGTAAGAGTAACTTAAAATGTATGTAATTAGAAGGACAAAACATTAAATAATGCCCAAAATCTGGTATTTTTAAAGGATAGATATAAAAAGGAGAAAAATTACATTTTATCTGAAGGAGCGAGGCTAAAAACAAATGTGCAAATCATTTCATGCCCTGGTTTAGTCCTGGATTAGTCTTGAGATAATCCTGGTTTATTCCTGATTTAGTCCTAGTTCAGTCCTCATTCAGTCCTTGTTCAGTCCTGTCTTAGTTCTGGGTTAGTCCTGTTTTAGCCCTGCGTTAGTCCTGGTTTAGTCATGGGTTAGTCCTGGTTTAGTTTTGGGTTAGTCCTGGTTTAGTCATGGGTTAGTCCTGGTTTAGTTTTGGGTTAGTCCTGGTTTAGTCATGGGTTAGTCCTGGTTTAGTTTTGGGTTAGTCCTGGTTTAGTCCTGGGTTAGTCTTGGGTTAGTTCTCATTTAGTCCTGGTTTAGTCCTGGTTTAGTACTGGTTTAGTCTTGGGTTTGCCTTGAGATAGTCCTTGTTTAGTCCTGGGTTAGTCCTGGTTTAGTCCTGGTTTTAGCCCTGATGTAGTCCTGGATCAGTCTTGTTTTAGTCCTGGGTTAGTTCTGAGTCAGTCCTGGTTTAGCGCTGGTTTAGTCCTGGGTTAGTTCTGAGTCAGTCCTAGTTTAGCCCTGGTTTAGTCCTGGGTTAGAACTGTTTTACACCTAGTTGAGTCCTGGTTTAGTCCTGGTTTAGACCTGGTTTAGTCCTGGTTTTGTCCTGGTTTACTTCTGGTTCAGATGATCCAACCCAGACGTTCCTATAGCTGAAATTTCAATAAGCAGTTAATGCATCTTTTATAAATAATGAAATTAATTAATTAAACAAATAGTAAAACGCTTCTGTTGTAATAATGTTGCTGTATTTGCGTCAGTTGTTCATAATGTTTTGCCTGATCTGAAGTTGAGGTTGAGGTTTAAACAGCTGCCTGGATCTCAATGCATTTCACTGTTCTTTCAGAGGGTCCCCACTGTCACTGTGAGCACCCCCACTGCAGGTAACCCCCAAAACAGTGTTGACCTTTGAACTTTCACCTCTCACGTGACCCTCCGTTTACCGTGACCGTGACCCTTCACCTCCCTCACACCTGCGCACCAGAAAGACAGTATAAAAGTACACAGAAAAATATGTGTATGAAGTTTGATTGTGGAAATTCAACACTTTCTTTTCTAACCAAAGAGTTTTTAGCAGCTACTCTTTTTAGCCTGATTTAAATTGACATTGAAAAATAACAGGTTACAGAACTTATTCCATGAAAACGTAGTTAACATAATAATCTAGATTTCTAAGTCTATAATTTTATCTTTTATTTATAGTTTGACAGGTTTTCATAATTTTACTTCCTGATTGGATACAGGCAGCAGATGTGACATATATAGAAGTAATTCAGTAACTGTTACCAGGCAACCATAATGTTAACAAAGACCAAAGCCTGTCTAAAATATATGACAAACTTTATTTGCTCAAATTAATATTCAAGCAGACAGAAAATGTGTCCCTACCGCATAAATTGTCCCTGTGTTTTTGATTGAATTTTGTGTAGTCACGACTTATATATGAACCCTTTCTAGAACTAAAGCTACTTCCTGTAACGTTCAACTTTTTCCCCATTTTTTCTGAAACTGCCACTTAACAGGCTGTATAAAGAAGTGGACTGAGGGAGTGTGACGTCACCCATAGCATTCAACTTCAGTCAAACGAAGCTCACCGAGGCTGGCAGTTTTTGGGGGCGAATTTGGAGCCGAGTTCATATTAGGATTGGGAATTTATTGACGTACAAAATAGCGAAATAAAAACACCAGGATCATGTAGAAAGGGTTATTATGACCATTTTAAGAACAAAATGAGGAGCCTGACAGCAGCAGTTACAGAGAGAGGGTGACGTTTTTTAATGGAACGTGAATTAGAACCAGAGTTGATGGAACCGGAAGCACGCCCATGCTCACTTCCTATTTGGAACTTTGCTATGTCCATTTATGTATACAGTCTATGATGCCACCAAATAAGATATTAATTAGAAAAACATGAAATTCTGTCATATGCACATTAAACTGATTCACTCTAAAGGCAATGACTCAAGTATTTTAAAAAGAAACTGGATTAAGTCATATCCAGAGGTGGGAGAGGAGCCAAAAATAAATGCACAAAATCAATAAAGAATGGACAAAATCTCTGGTATTTTTAAAGGATAGACAGAAAAATGAGAAAAACTGAATCATATCTGAAGGAGTGGTGCAAGAAACAACAACTTCTATGAGCTTTTAAGCATGTTATAATGCTTTGCCCTCATCATTAGCTCATGCAAAGCTGTATTTTAAGTTTATCGATAATATATGTAGCACTTTTTATGTGACCAGCACAGACTAAATCTAGACAATCTGTACTTATCTTGTAATTATTTGGGGAAAAAATCTAAGTCAATACTAAGATCCTGAAAAGCAATTTAATGTAGACTTCAATATTGTCAACAAGCTGGATTTAGGAAGTAGGTCGAGGGCGTCTATCAATTAATCCATCAAAATATCTGCTTTCTTTCATGAAAACATAGGTCTCCATCGAGTAGACACCATTGACTGTATATAGAAATGCTAACTTGCTAGCCGCCACGTTCCAGATAGGAAATAAACATGGGTGTTCTTCTGGCTCCACTGACTCCAGCTCAAATTCATTTTGTATTGGAAAATTGTCCTCCCTCTCTTTGTGACTCGCCATTTTGGTTTTAAAAGGTTCATATAAACTAAAGGCAGTTTATAGTGTCTTGAATAATACCATATGATAAGATGTAATGTAAAGAGAAGAAAGATGACCAGTCTCTGCTCTGATTTTGATTAAAATCAATTAAAAGTGTAAGTGTCTGTGCAAATGAAACTCACAAGAGTCAGTTTTGCATAACATAGAACCTTTAATGATTCAAAAAGTTAGATTTCATGAAGCTGGTCACATACTAGAGGAATGATGCTCGACAAGCAATGTGGCTGGTTGAGTGAGGAAGGGCATCTGTCTTAAAAATCTGTTTAAACATTTCTTGATTCGTGGCTATTTCTGCTGTGGCGATCAGGGAGCGAGCAAATCGATGATCTCATTTGTAAGGGATCTCACGTAGGATGAAATAATTCAGATGAGTAATTTTAAACTAAGAAAAAGAAACTAACTTTGCTGCTGTTGCCATGAGAACAGGTTTATGTGCATGTCTCTATTTGAGGCAGATTCAGTGGGAGGAGAGCGCAGAGGGTCAACGCCCCCATTTACACACCACATCTATGAAGACATGGTAAAGATTTGAGCTATGGGGTCTCGTCACTGCTATAGTTTTAATGTTCTGATGATTCTAACTGTTTTGGATCATGAAGGGGTTAGGGCTGGTCTGAAAGAATGGAAGACTTTCTTCCAAGGATCTAGATATGTTTAAAAGGACAATATTATTATTTATACTCTTTTCTGATCTGTGTTATAATGTTGTTTCTTCATCACAAACACACCTGGAGTTGTATTTAGTTTCATTTCATTCACACATGTTTAACACATGAATCCTGCATATTAAGGCTGAGTTCTTCTCTTTCTTCATTTACTGAAAACACTGTTCCACATTGTGATGTCATGTGGTAATACAGGAAGTGCTATGTTTTTAATCCCCATACACCTTAACTTGAATGATTTCGATAATTTCAGCCCTGGAGTTGCCAGTCTCTACTGAACTAAAGTGTAGCTGTTAACTAGAAAACTACCGCTTCGTGACATCACAAGGTGGAACAGAGCATTTTGAGGTTTGGAGCTGTAGACAGCCCAAAAATGCAGGATTACTCAATCATGTATGAATAAAACAAAACACAACTCCAGGTGAGTTAGCAACATTCTAACATGGCTAAAAGCTCACAGTATACAGTAGTTTGCGTAGGACCTTTAATGGATAATGTCATGTACACAATTGTATATGTACTGTACAAATGAAGACATTTGTACAGAGATTATTTGGTATGTTTAATTTTAGTCTTAACTTAGTTCTGACTAGATATTACTGTAAGTAAATTACAGTATACTTTATTAATAACCCACAAGGGACATTTTCTGCATTTGACCCATCCATAATGCCTCTGGAGCAACCTGTCAGGAGCAGTGGGGACCCGTCTTCGTGAGCTAGTCTTGTTCAGGACTACCTTAGCTGGAGGATTTTAGCTGTTGTGCCTAGAGAAAACCCACCCAGACACAAAGAGAAACATGCAAACCTCAAACTCCACACAGAAAGACCGGGAATTATATACAACATATGTTTAATGGAAATGCTGACAATCTGATCTCTCTGCACCTTGTATCTTCCCTTCACTTTTTCCTGTGGTGTGACCTCTGACCTTTGACCCTGCAGCACTGAGCATGTGCAGCTCCTCACTGAGCACTGTGCTTTCACCTTTCTGCTGTGTGTGACTAATATAGGCCCATACTCCTATGCTGCTGGGGCCTTTTCCCGATCTTGAGCTAGTCTTGGTTAGGATTGCCTTAGCTGGAGGATGGAGCATGTTTTGATTTGGTTACATGACACTATGGAGGCTTGTATTGAGTATAATGCCTTTCAGTGGTGGAAGAACTACTACTTTTGTTACTTAATAGTTAAGTAAAAGTATTGAAGTACCCATTTAAAAGTGTACCTAAAAGGTTAAAGCATTACGAGCAGAATTCAAGGTCTTATGAGACTTTTTTTTCCTACCTGTTTGTTTGCTCAAACTATGAATGTGTTAAAAATAAACTCCTCATGCCTTATCCCTCAAACTATCAAGTATAAAATTTAAAAAAATACTTTTACTTTTCAGTCCAGTTCAAAAATGTGGAATAGAAGGTACAGGTACATGCTCTCAAATGTACTAAAGTAAAAGTAAAGTATCCAATTTAAAATGTACTTTTACTTGGTTACGTTCCACCACCTTTGTATTGTCTTGAGTTCATGTTAAACTCTTGGCCTGCTCCTCCTTTAGTGTGTGAAGGTGAACCATCTGCTCATCCAAATGCATTAGGTCCACCTGACTGTGACCGAGCCCATTAAAGTACAGCCCCGCCCCCTTCACCCCATAACAAGGGCATTAGAGGAAATTAAAATACAGCTTAGAAACCACTTAGTAATTTTGTTTTTGTTGATGTTTTATTTTTAAGGTGCATTATGTAACATTTCTAGAGGGGCCTCTACCTTCTTCCAACCTTACTTGCTTTGCCTGTAATGTTTCATAGTAAGCAGTAAACTTATCTATCTCCATGGAGACCAACAGGAGGCAACCCTTAGGGAAACTTCATGTCAGATTGGTGAAGATACAAGCTTAATACCATACTGAGGAACATTTGAGGCAAAAAATAACTCTCCATATCATCAAGCGAGTGGACCCCGTTACCAGAAATCTTACATAGTGCAACTTTAAATCTTGAATAACAAAAGTGAAATGTTAATTGCTATGGTAACAGTCCTAATTTTTGATCCTTTTGGACCTGGACCCATGGATATAGGGCCAGTGTGTGTTGCAGCAGTGGATAAAAGTTACATAACAGAATCTGTTAACAATGTATTTTAACCACTAACTTTCTCTTCTCTGTTTTCTTTCTCTTCTAACGGGACACTAACACTTCAACAGTCGAAAGAGGTGGGGTTTACCTTATTTAATTCTCATTTTTGTGACTTGTATTGTGTACTTGATCGTACAACCCAGTGTAGTAGTCTTATTACTAGAGTTGTCCCAATCCGATCACGTGATCGGAAATTGGGGCCGATCACATGACTGCGGACTCGATCCGGACTCGTACGTTATGTTCCGATCAGGTATCGGAATTATTATATATGTATATAACACACAGGACACACAGCACACAACAGTTTTTTTTTTTTTTTACTGAGGCGCAGGATTTGCTCAGGGATGTCCAGTTAGCGTGACTGTCTGCCCCAACGCCTGCTGTACTAGCGGCGCACTCACGCTGGGCCATGGCGTGCTCGGGCGCTGTTGCTTGGAGTTCTGTGGCCCCATGTTTACACCTGCGCAGCCAGTGGGGTCGGGGTTGGGCACAGATGTCTTAAACTATAGTCTTACTGCAGGTGAATGTAGTATTTAACTACATTATACTGTTAGAGTGACATTATAAATATCACAGTTATTAACATGTGCCCCCAGAGATACACAGAATGACCCATCGTTTTTATTTGGTAAGATTTGGTATTATTTGGATTTCATAAATGAGCCTAAATGTTTCAAATGTAATACACATGCTTCCATATAATATCAAATATACAAACTCTAGATTGTGCAGAGTCTAGTCTCTGTGTCTGATCTGATTCTGGTCTGGTTCCTGTTTTGTCCAGTTCATTAAGTTTACTAAGTTACACATTCCAAGACCAGACTGTGAAAAGTAAAGATTTTCAACAATGATGGTGCATGTTTAGAAAAGTTAATAAAATTAAGTTTTGGACATTTGATTTTTCACACTAAGTTCAGACCAAATACTACACATTGAAATCAACACAGTCTGATCCCCCATACATCCTGGTTCTTATTCTTTGCTCTGAGTTCATTTCATAATGTTTTATAGAAGTATAGTAGGGACTCGGTATCAGCAGATACTCAAAATCAAATGACTTGGACTTGGACATGGGGGTTAAAAAAAATGTGATCGGGACATCCCTACTTATTACCCTAACCTTTACTATACTGTATATTTTCCCATTTGTTGTATGGTGTAAAGCTATAAACTTTTTTAGCCTTTAGCTCATATTATGAGTGTGGTGCACTATGTAACTTTTCTGGAAGAGCGTATGCCATCTGCTTGTGGTGAAGTTTGTATTTGGTCTGGAAAGTTCCACAGTGGCATTAAAAGAGTCTATCTCCATGGAGACAAGTAGGTATTAGATGTGGAGAGACTAGCCCAGTCACAATAACAAACAATTTATGTATTGTATTTTATTGCAATTGAATAAAAGTAAGGTGGATCAATTCAATGCCATACTGTGGGGCATTTTAGGCTAAACTGTTGAAGGACATTTTAGGCATGTTTTTCAACCTTTTTGTGCTCTTGACTGTTGCATAAGTTTGAATCAAAAGAAGGATGCAACTTTAACTGCACTGAATGTCTCTGCTGTTGTCTTAAAGGGCTTTCAGAGGTTAAAAGCCCCATATTATACTATGTTTTCTGCTCTATGTTATAATGTTGTTTCCTCATCAAAAACATACCTGGAGTTGTGTTTTGTTTCATTCACACATGTTAGACACGCAAACTTTGTATATTTAGGTTGAGTTCCTCTCTCAAATAGAAAACATGGATCATTTCAGCTTTGGAATTTCCAATCTCTACTGAACAAAAGGTAAAAAGTAGCTGTTAAGTTGAAAACTACCACTTCAAGGTTGAACACAGCATTTGGAGCTTTGGAGATGTAGACTGTCTAATATTACAGGGTTACTCAAATGTGTGATTGAAACAAAACACAACTCCAGGTATATTTTTAATGAAGTAACAACATAAGAACACGGCTTAAAGCTCACAGGAGTCAGATTTACGTAATATTGGACCTTTAAAAACAGACCGGGTTGTGCATGTGTCTTACAGTATTATCGAACATATATGTCATTTTTATGCATAGCTGTTGTCAATTAACCATTTTTACAAAAACAGTTAAAAGCTCTGGGCTCAGGGGTGACTGGGTTCGGTCATTAGTATTCTCTGTAACAACACGACCAAGCACTGCCAAACTCAAGTCTCCTTTTGTCCTCCTACAGCTGCTACCCCTTGGAAAAAAAAATCAGGTACGTCACAGGCTCCGTGCTTGAATTCATTGTTTTCTCTGCAAAAAATGACTTTGTTTTAATTTATCTGAGTACTTTTACTATTAGGAAATAAGAAAAAACATAATTATTCACCATGATGAGTTTATGAGCAACATTCACAACTTTCAGAGACCGGTGTGGAGTTTTGCAGTGATGGTGAAGCTGAACAACTAGCATGCTGACACACACTTACTGATATGATGTTCAAACAATAACCAGAGATCTATATGAAGGCAAATATAATAATAGTAAATGTAATAATATTTCCATGGAGATAAGCATGAAAAGTTGCACAGTGCACCTTTAATAACAATGTTTTTTTGTTTTGTTTGTTTTGTTGTTTGTTTTTTTTGTTTTGTTTTTCAGAATTCGAATCCTCACAAGTTTCCGAGAAGAAGAGGACAGTCTATCAGATGGCTCTGAGTAAGGAACCCCATGTGTGTCTCCATCAAAGTCTGTCTCTCCACTCACAATGCAAAAACGCGCCGCCATTTTGTTTCTGTTCATATCTCTGTTTCATTGTCTTGTCCTCTCTTCTCTCTCCTCTTCCTCCTCCTCTCCTCTTCCTCCTCTTCCTATCTCTCTGTCTTTCTCTGTCCCTCTCTCGCTCACAGATAAATTAGATGAAATTCTTGCAGCCGCTCAGCAGACAATCAACACCAACGAGGCTCCAGGGACACGGGGACCGGGGCCCAAACGCGAGAGAGGGCGGAGCTTCTACGGCAACGAGGTACTGAGACCATATCTGTACTGTATATTTGATAGGGCTGCAACGATTAGTCATAGTTGTATTTTGATAATCGTAATCTATACAAACTCTAAAAGACACAAAACACACAAGAAGGTGGTACATGGTCAGATTTTTATGTAGTGTTTTTGCACTTTCAAGGCACTCAAAGAACTTCAGCAAGGGACCACTCACCCATTCACACACACATTCATACATCAATGTACGCAGACACTAAAGGCGAGGTGGGTTAAGTGTATTGCCCAAAGGAGTCTGGAGGTATAAGGAACAGTGTGATTGGTCTTACAGGTATCCACACTTTAAACTCTGCCCTTTCAGCCGGGTGTTTATGGTCGGAAACAGCTGGTTTGAATCAGAGCAGTCTTACGTGATGTTACATAAAATTGGCGGTGGTCATCATGTCAATCTTTATCTGGATAAAAATTTATTCAAAAAGTCAATGTACAATAGAAATAACCATTTGACTAGTTGACTTATGATAACTAAAACTAAGTGTAAAATAATGGTTAGCTGCAGCGCTAGTGTTTGCAGTGTACTGTATGTGGTACACTACATCGCTACTACTCACTTGTTTGTCTGTTCAATTCTCTCCTGACTTAAATTATCATCACTAATAATTATTGACCTTGCTAAACCGCTGACCGCTATTTCACACTTTTGTTTCTTTATTTTCCCATCATTCAAAGACTTGCAACTTTTTTTTTAATGTAATATTTTCATGGAGTCATGGAATGACCAAAAAAAGTTACTTTTTATTTTTACTACCTATATATATTGCAAAAAAGCTTTTTATACAACAGCATATTATCTTGTATCTTTGATTTAAATTTACACAAATCTTTTTGCAGTGTAGTAATGTATTTTCAGTGCATTTTTGTTCCTAAAGAATGCTCTTGTTCTTGTGTTTTTAGCAGGGCTATGGGGACCAGTCTGGGATGGGGGTGATGTCTTCAGGGTTAGGCCTGGGCTATGACCGCGGGCAGTACTCTGGTCACGGCCCCCCGCACGGTATGCTGCGGCAGAAGTCAATCGGTGAGGCTGTCTGTGACACTCCGCACTGCAAAAAATCTGATCTGCATCAGTGAAAATGACTCAAATGCAGAATATTAATCTTACTTTAGATCATTTTACCTGCATCACTTGTTTACAAACTGTGATGCTAGAGGCACTCCATTTGATTCAAATACAGTACATAGTTCACACTGCTGAATATGTCTGAATAGTTGTTTAATGCACTGAAAAATTGCGACATTCATCTTTACTCTGAGCTGGTTTGCATCTCCATAAACCTGGTGCAGGGCCACCTTTTACTTGTTTCTGTTATATAGTTTTATATAGATTTAACTTTCTATTACCATCGAATCAGGTGATGTCCCACCTCAAGAAAGCTGCTGTACCTTGAAGTACATTTACTGCTTAATTTGAAGCTGTTTCTTACTTACATTACTTACATTACTTACATTACTTACATTACCAATAGTGAGTCTTGCGTTTGAGAATCCGGGACCTGAATCATGACATGTTTTAACACATATTATCTTAACAGCAGGGTACTCAAAATACTCAAATAAGAAAAATAAAACATTAAAAAGTAGATTTTTATTCTGAATTCCAGTCATTTTGAGCTCTGTAGATATTTTTTGCAGTGCTGCCCTTATGTCAGCTGTATGTCTGTCCAAACCAAGTCCAGCTGTTTCTGTTTGTTGCTGTGTAATTGTTCAGTGTTTGTTGTTATTCTCACTTTTCTACACTGTCGAGTTTACAGTGTTTTTAAATGCCCCAATATGTTTATACTGGCTAATTTTCTCACTCTTTAGCGATTAATGATTGGCTGAAGTAACAGTAAACTTTGGCTAAAATAACCCATTGTATTACATTGCCCAGTTCTAACCAGTTTGTTTACTAACACATTTAGTATTATTTTTAATGGTGGACAGACTTGCTGGCATCAGAGTGGGCAGATAGAGACAGACAATCTCATCACTTTTATTTTCTATTTCACACTTAAGTAATAGTGATTCTGGTAATACCATTTAACCCTTATGGCATTATTTGGAGCTAGAGTTACCCAGCTGTGTTTAAATTTGAAGTTATAAATGTCTGTGCAGGCTAACTATAACAGCAGAAAAGTGACTCTATCATTTAAAACAGAAACAAAACTTTTTTTTGTACTGAATTGAATTGAAATTGGAAGTAACTGTTGTACTAGTGTAATTTTTTGTTTCTGGGCCAATTTTTTCTTGTTTCCTTATTTTATTTATATTATTTTATTTCATTTTACAGTGTCTCTGTTTACTTAGAGCACTGGTTCCAAATCTTTTTCTGCCAGTTATCCCAATTTACAAGTTAGTGACCCCACATCTTTTTCTTACCTTAGAAGCCACTGTGTTATAAGGAAAGAGGAAGGAAAGGAAATTATTTTCTGGTTAATAAAGATGCCATAGAACAGTAATCATTAAAAATACATTATAAAAGCAATCAATATGCCACCCCTTCATTAAAAAAAAGTTGTAGAGAGAAAGTTGTATTTTCAATTATATTTATTTTCAATGCCGACATTTTATTTTGTTGTTTAGAGTTCTGTTTTCAATGACAAAGCAGTGCTGTCACTTTTCTAGCCAATAAACTGGTATAGTATGTCTTTGCTTTGAGTTCAGTTATGGTTAACATATTTAAATAGATAGATATGCTTTATTGATACAAGGAAATTCAGCTTTTTAATTTCAGTACATCACAGTAATACAATCAGGCATACAGAGATTTAAAAACAAAGACATTAAAAAGTCATATAAAAATGTTAAAAAAAAAGAAAAAAAAAAACAGGAATAAGGCAGTGCAATGATTATACTGCTAATTTAAAGGTGTACTACATAACTTTTTTGGTGGAGGAAATGGAAATGGTTTTTCTCCATGGAGATGTCATTGCTCTGTTTGAAATGTTCCACAGTATGACATTAAACAGCTCTACCTTACGTGTATTGAATTACAGGCGGGTTTGTAGCTCAACAATACCAAGAAAAAAAGGCATTCTGACTGTGAGCAGGGTTTTCTCTCCACAGATCTGACCTGTAACTTGGTCTGGTTTGGTCTCCTTGAAGGTAGAAAGGTTTAATATCATACTGTGAAAGATTTCAGGCAGAGCAATAACATGTCCACATGGAAAAGTATTTGATGGACCTCCCACTAGAAAAGTTGCACGATGCACCTTTAAATATCAGTTGTGTTTAAACACCTTATAATTTTTGTGTTTGTGAATGGCGCGCTGTAGGGACCCCTGAGGAGGAGGTGAAACAGTTTCTACACCCTCCGACCATGAAGTTTGTCCGCAGTCTGTCTGTGCCTGGCCCGGACGACATCCCCCCTCCCCCCACCACCGCGCCCCCGGAACCCCCCTTCTCCTCCGCCCCGCCCCTGGGATGGAGAGCCAAATCCTCCCAGCAGCCCTCCGTCTCCATGTCCCAGGCCTCTGCCACCTCCGCGCACTACCAGTCTTACTCCCAGCAGCCCGTGCACTTCGCCCACGGGGGCAGGGAGAGGGCGGGCGTACCTGGCATGAGCTCCGGAAGTGGGGTCGGTGGAGGAGGTGGAGGTGGAGGAGGAGTTGTGGATCATAGCGCTGTTTATGCACATGCGGTCCAGAGCAGAGCTGCGTCGCGAAAGGTTGCATACCCTGGGGAGTCTACTGGTGTTGGAGTAGCGACAGCGGCGAAAACGGCGGTTCTCAGGCGTGGTTACAGTACCGCCGCCATCCCGCCTTCCAGCATCGCCGCGGTGATGCCCCAACAACAGCAAACTGCCCAGGGACAACCGCAGCGAGCAGACAGGACTGGGGTGGGAGCGGGTGGGCCAAAAGGACAAGCGAGACGAGGTAAAGGCCCCCTGGTGAAGCAATCCAAGGTGGAGGACTTGAGAGCTACGCAGGGGGCACTAGGGAGCAAAGGTTCGCTAGAGAAAAGTTCAATCCCAATACCGACTATCATTGTCAAAGCACCTTCAACTAGTAGTAGTGGGCGTAGCAGTCAAGGTAGCAGCGTAGAAGCAGATGTCCCCGGTCCAGGTGAATCGGATGAGTCCAAAACTCCACTTCCTCCTTCAACACCTGCTCCACAACCACCTGCACCTCCCTCTGTACCTGCTCCTCCACCTCCGTCAATGAGAGCGCAGGAAAATATGGACTATACAAGCCAGTTCGGTGCAGCTATCGTAGGTGCCGCCCGAAGAGATAGAGAGAGATTCCACGAAGCAAGAAGAAAGAGTGCGTCCTTGTTTATGTCTGCAGAGGAGGATGGACTTGGAGGAGGCATCAGTGATCATTTAAGCGGAGGTTCAAGGACTCAGCTTTCACAATCACAGCTTAGTTCGCAACAGGATAGCTCGTCAACACGACTACGCCCTTCGAAATCTATAGATGAAGGTATGTTTTCAGGAGACACCTTCATTCACCACACGCGCAGTATGCCCCCTGCTTTTGGACTACCTGAATACTCTTCATCAGCTTTGGACTATCAGCCAAAATCTGTACCAACTGATTTGTATACAGCAGCAGGTAGGCAGCCCTCCCCGAATACGTCAACCACCTTTATACACCCGCTAACAGGAAAAGCGCTAGACCCCACCTCGCCCCTTGGTCTCGCCCTTGCGGCTAGAGAAAGAGCATTGCGTGACGATTCGAGAATAAGAAGGGGACCGGATCATTTTACCAGGCAAATGTCTAGTGTATTCCCAACTTCTAGCGTCTCATCTCAACCTGTGTCTTCCACCGCTCAGTCTTCAAGCTCCTCTTATTTAGTCACGTCTTCGTCTGTAGCTGCTACTACCCCGACAGTGGGTCGACCCCCTTCACCCCGGATTCTTAGGGGTATGTGGGCGGATGAGGCCGCGGCGGGAGATAGAGATAGAGAGGCAGGAGGGGCAAGAGAAGGGTTAAGGGTTAGATTTTCAGAAGATAAAACTGTCCACACGCACCACTATCAATCGCAAGGGTATCAACCAAGAGATAGGTCCAGAGAGCGGGATTTGTCAAGAGAAAGAGACAAAGATAGTTATATGCGTAGGACAGAGCAAGTTACTGATAATGCGACAGGACAACAGCAAGGATCCCAAAGACCGTCGTTTCTTAGAATGGAAAGCCAATCAGATCAGTACATTTTGTCATTAACTCCACCGTCACCTCCTCCAACTAGCACGCAGCAACAGACCAGTACCACAGGTGGGTCTGGGATGATGGTCCTACCCCCACCTGCCCCATCCGTAGACGCAGATGATGAATTCGTGTACGCAGATCCCCTCCCACCTCCACTAGAGTTCGCCAATAGCTTTGACAGAGGTTTAGGTAGCGCAATGGCGAGGTACGCTCAAGGAGGCATGCATCGAAACATGGCGGCACGTCAAAATCAACAGGAAGTCCCGCCCCCTCCTCCACCTCCACCACCGCCTCCACCGCCGCCTCCGCCCGCTTCCCAACAGAAGGAGCAATTCGGGACTGGTTTCCCGGCGCCGTTAACGTCTCCGCAAGCAGGTGATTCCACAGCGTCCAGCCTTACGTCATACGATAGTGAGGTAGCTAATCTAACGCAGTCTGTTCCGTCTCCATCACAAGTTTCGCCCAACCCTCCTCCGCCCGCTTCGCCATCCACGCTTCAACCCACTTCGGTCGGAACGCAACCCCAACCTTCCGTGTCCCCTCCGCCCCAAGCTGGTTCGTATCATCGTCCCTTTTCGATGTCCCATCACCATCTTTACAACAGCAGTCACCCCCCTGCTCGCTCCTCTTCACCCACCCCTCCTCAACAACACACAGTAGCCCCTCCGCCAGCGTACAGGGGACCTCCAGCGCACCCCCAGGCGACTGCCACCTCCGCTCCCAATCGGGGCACCACCGTTTCCCAGGCGACGACGGCCACCTCCGCCCCGACCACCACTTCCTCCACGCCTTCCACAACTAGCACCTCCACACAGCTTTACCACGAGCGGACTTCTCATACAACTACAGTTATAACAGGAAGAAGAACTGCGGAGCAACATCGGACTGCCACAACTGCCAAAAAGGGGGAGTCCCAAGAGACAGTTGTCGATTCTGGGATTGAAGAACTCGATAGTCGTAGCAGTAGCGATCACCATTTGGATAGCATTTTGGGTTTGAGTGGTAGAAGAGGAATAGATGGAGGAAGGTTGACTGGTAACAGTAGCAGGGTGGGGTCAACTGATTCAGACAGAGCAGGAGATTTCTTGGAGTCATACATGAGCTACTTGGATGGACAAAGTTTCGAAATGCAGAACGCCACAGCAGCCGCAGCGTCAACATACCCCAAAACAAACCGATTCAGGGAAGGAGGACGCGCTGGGGATTTGCACCGTCAGACAAGCACCGCACCCGCATCTTTTCACCGAAGACGAGATGAGCACGAAGAGGAGGACATCGAGGAAGGAGGGGTTGAAGAGGACAGCGGGCAAGAGAGCTACACAGTACGAGATATGCAGAATTTGGGACGTCCAGCTTCGCCCTACTACGAGAGGCCACGTACCCCAGAAATGAAGCCTCTCTGGGGGGAAACGCAGAGTGCAGAGTCGGCGGCGCTCCTGGAGGGTAAAAAGGTCTACCCACCGTCTTCGAGTATGAAACCGAATATCATCAACGAACTGAGCAACAAGCTGCAGCACAGAAGCAAAGAGAGCTGGAGCAGCCAAAGGGCCCTCAGCAGACACAGGTACTCTATCAACACAGCCTAATGAGGTTTAATAAGTAAAATATATATAGTTACAATTATAAATGCACCGTAGAGGATAAATTAGTTAAGTAAAGAATCTATGGGTCTTAATGAGGTAAAAAGGTGCAGAGTGCAGATCCGTGGAGTCAGCGGTCCAGCTAATTTAAAGTACAATGGATAGTTTTTTGCTATTTTTTGTAACTTTTCAGGGTGGGGGTCCGCTACCATAGAGATTCTTTTACTTTTATAACTTGTAACTTTTAGAAGATGTATTGTGAAATGATGGGTGTTTTTTAAAAAGACTTTTAAAAACATGCATTCTTACTGTGAGTGGTGTCGCCACTTCACAGATCTCACCTGTAAATTGGACTGGTGGTGTCTCCTGCTTGTTTCTATGGAGAAAACTGTAATGCCTTACTATGAAGTATTGGAGGTAAAGCAATAATATCTCCATGGAGACAAGTAACTAGCAGCTATCTACCAGTGCACCTTTAATGAAACTTCAAAATTAAGTCTACACTGCCACCCACAAACATGCATGGGAGAAAAATATTTAATCACAGATATGTTCTAGTAAATTTAATAATAACTTCAATATTGCAGCAAATTGTGTTGCTGTACATCTCCAGCTATAACCTTGTGTTTAATTTCAACAAAATTCCTTGACTTGAATAGATTTTGCCAATAGTCTATAATAGGTTAAGAACTGTATTAGAGATGCACTGTGTAACTTTGTGTTGCAGGCTTCACAGTTTGCTTGGTTCTATGGAGATGTTTTTGCTTTGCATGGAAAGTTCCACAGTATGGCATTAAGTTTATCCATCTTTAATTTTTTTAATGAGAAAAGTGTTTTTCATTGCAAAAAATACCTTATAAAAACATGCCTTCTTACCGTCACCTCTCCACAGAGCTGACCTGTGACTTTGTGGCATCTGCTGGTTGTCTCCTTGGAGAGAGACATGCTTAATACCATATTGTGGAACATCCCAGGAAAAGCGATATGACCTTCACAGAGACAAGCAAGTTTTGGACCCCAAACTACATAGAAAAGTTTCATAGTGCCATTAACCGAAGGGTATCTGGTTCAAATCCCACCCATCCTCATACGTGTTCTCCATTGCCCACTCCAGAGAGACAGGGCATCAGGCATAAAAATCTGCCAAATTAACATAAAAAAGGAAGAATCAGAAGTAGGATTTGGACCAGATATTAATATTATTGTATAGTATAATTTGACATCTATAATTACAATCAATATTCCTAATTGCTAATATATTATTTATTCATTTTTTCCAGATTTTCCGAAGATTCTGCCTCTGCTCTGAGCCCTCCGTCGGTGCGCTCCCTCTCTCCCTCTCCCATCTCTCTCTCCCAGCCCTCCCTCTCTCCCTCCCCCACTCCGGCCTCTCAGTATCCAAACTGGGGCCGCTCTCCCTCCCCTCAGCCCCAGGTCCAATCCCAACCTCCTCGCTCCCACTCCCCCCTCTCCCCCACGGGCTACTCTCCTTACCCCACCTCCCCCAAACACCGGCCAGTCTACCGCTCCAAAGCTCTCGAATTCCAGTTTATTCCCAGTCGAGAGTCTAGAAAAGCTGAGTCTCACATTGCGCGCAGACGTGCACCTAGCCCGCTAATTTCCCCAACGGAGCGCCCCAAACACGCACCACCACGCCCTTCATCTCTACCCCTGCTCCCTACCTCTCCTCTCTACAGCGCCATCTACGATTTGCGTGGGTCAATTACACCCCCATCACCCGCAAACCCACTTGGTGACCCCTACTTCTCACCCTCTCCTCCTTTATTTGCCCCATCTGGCGCTCCTCCACCTCCAAACTCCACTTTAGTTGTTTCGCGATCGCTATCTCCAACTCATTTCCTATCTGGGACCTCTTCGCCACCTTTACACCCTATCCCACCTCCGCCATGTCTGAGCTACCCTCACCTTCCTCCGCCCTCGCCCACGAAACCGTTTGCTTCCAAGCCCCTGCCCTATTGGACCAAGTACGATGTGGCGGACTGGTTGACGTATCTGAACTTGGGCGAGCACAGGGAGAGGTTTTTGGACAATGAGATAGATGGGACGCACCTGCCCTCTCTCACCAAGGAGGACTACCTGGACCTGGGCGTGACTCGAGTTGGGCATCGGATGAACATCGAGAGGGCTCTGAGGACGGTAATAGACAGGTGGGTATGAGAAGAATTGAGGTCCTATATTACGCAAAATTGACTCTTGTGAGTTAGAATGTCATTTCCTCATCAAAAAAAGACCTGGAGTTTTGTTTTGTTTCATTCACACATGTTTGAGTAATCGTTCATTAGTCTGTGTACATCTCCAAAGCTCAAAATGCACTATTCCACCTTGTGATGTCATGTAGTGGTAGTTTTCAATTCAGCAGCTACCTTTTACCTTTTGTTCAGTAGAGATTCACAATTCCAGGTCAGAAATCATCCAAATTATTCTAGTGAAGGTGTATGGAGTTTAAAAACACTTCCTGTATTACCTCATGACATCACAGAGTGTTTTCTGTTTGAGACGAGATGCACACAGACTAACAGCAAGGGGTTACTCAAACGTGCGAATGAAACAAAACACAACTCCAGGTACCTCCACTTTTCAGACCCTCCACTTTTCTGGTGGAAGGTCTGTCAGCTGCTTGTCTTCATGGAAATATTATTACTTGTCTAGAATGTTCCATGGTAGAGATTAAACCTATCTATCTCAAAGGAGACAAATATAGGGTACATTACAGGTCATATCTGTGGAGAGGCAACCCTATTCACAAGGACAATGTTATTAATGCATGTCCTGAAGTCATAGTGTTGTTCCTCTGTGAAGTGAGTTAAAACTGCATAACGCACGGCTCCAAGTTGTTTAATGCACTTATACCACGGCTACAAACTGAAATGTCTCACTTGTGAATCTGGAAAGCCTGTCCATTGCATATAAAGATGTCAACTTAGTTATTTCAGTGTTTTAAATGAAGCTACTCCCTACATTGTACTCAGAGCAGTTGAGGATGTGTTTACCCTTTGCTATGTTGATGTCATGGCGATGGCCGCAGAGCAGTGATATAGAACAGTGATTTGGCTGTTGCCGGACTATTCAAATTCAAAAAAAGTTTATTGTCAATTCTTAATACGAAACATATGAAGAATCGAAATTGTGTTTCTCACTCCCAAGCGTATAAATAAATAATAAATGGTAAAAGTCCAAGTGTTGACTACAATTCATGACTACTTGTGCATTATGCAGTATTAACACATGGCAGTTAGACATTGGAATTCTCATTGACCATGGACATGTAAATGTAAATGTACTCTTATAAGATGTATTGTCACAGAAGTCAAACCCACTTTCCTATTTTTTTTTCTCTTTCCTCCCAAAATACTGTAGAAACCCCCTTCATTACCATTTCATGTCCTTATGCTCTGGTCCTTCTGCTCGTGTCCCCAGGCTCTCCAGCAGCCCGTTCCCCATTTCCATGCTCTCTCCGCGGGAAGGCCAGAGTGACATGAGGAGGGACGATGGAAGCCGCAGCTGAACGCGCGAAACTCTGCGACGGAAAAAAAACAACACGAGACACAGAATAGAAACTACAACGCTCGGAATCAATGAGGGGGCAAGACACAACTGCTGTGGCTTCACTCCATAAATTAAAGGGGGGTAGACCTCTCGGTGAGATGGGGAACGCATTTGGGATGTCCTGAAGAGAAATGAGGGAGACACAGTGGTTCATGATGCGTTTAGTTTAGTTTGGATGAGAGAGAGGAAGAGAGAAAGAGGAGGAGGAGATGTGGTTTGAGTCGTGTCATCACAGAGTTTAATTTTTATCATCCAGCTCAAGATATGCTCGTGACATTGGTAAATTCAGAGGCAACGAAACAAGGAATATCTGTGTTAATTACTAAAAGGTTTTGAGTTAAGGTTATGAACTTGTTTTGAGAAGTTTTGACTTTTCATTCAAGTCTGGTTCATGTAATTTGCAGTGTAGAATATTGGGGAAGTCATTTCATTTCTGCAGTTCAACTCCAACAATCTAAGCAAGTGTGCAGTCGTACCTAAAGGTGCATTATGTAACTTTTCGGTTGGGGGTCTGTCGTATGCTTATTTCTATGCATATGTCGTTGCTCTGCCTGGATTGTTCCACAGTATGACATTAAAAAAGTTCTACTTTACATTTATTAATTTACAGCTCAAAAATACCTAGTAAAACAGCCATTCTGACTGAGCGGGGTTGCCTCTACACAGATCTGACCTGTAACTTGGTCTGTTTTTGTTTCATTCCAGACAAAGCAATAAAATCACCATGGAAAAAAGCATTTGACAGACCCTCCACCAGAAAAAGTTACACAGTGCACCTTTAACATGAACCACATCGACAAGGTGACCAACCTGGGACTAAACCAGAACTAAACCAGGACTAGAACAGGATCAAATGAAGTCTACAGCTGAACTTAACTGGGCTTAAAACAGGACCAAATCTTGACAAGTGTGAATCTGCTCTAACTTGTATTAATTCAGCACTCACACTTTATAAACATGAACAGTTTTCAAATTTTAAAGTTGGAAAAATGACAAAGTTATGCATTTTTTGGTCATTTTTAAGATAAAAACTGAAAAGTGAATAAACGTGAATTGAAAACACATAGAAATGATTTGTATAGCATAAAGTACTGATGGGTTTCACACGGCATCACAACATTATATAGGCCAGTAATATTAAAAGAGATGGGAAGATGAGCTTTTTGTAATACAGAGAGTTCTTTGGTCTAATCACTAATAGAAATAACTGGGTTCAACTATTATTAATTTACCTTTTATTTATTACATGGCAAAGTACAATGTAATCAATGGGGAAAATCTGTCTCTTGCCTCCATCTGACAGTATGACATCATCACATCTAGAATCTGAAATCCACCAATGAAATTAAAGCTTGAAATATTCGCCATTTTCCACACAGTAACTACATAATATTTGTGTTCAAATGTAACTACAGAAATGAATGGACTTGCACAATATACTTGCGTTTTAAGTGAACATACGGTACGATTTTATCACTCTACTTTTACAAAAATATATACCACCACCAAAAAATTATGGATTTTATTAAAGAGACTATTTTCAGAAGGGTTGAATGTGCAATAGTTAAAGTATAGTCCTTTATGAGTGGAATTATATTTGTAAATGTAATTATATATTAGACATTATCAAAGCTTAGTGGTTAGTTAGAAGGCAATCTGGTGCAATGCCGTGGAGATTAAATCATGTGATGCAGTAAAAACGGGCCAGTTATATTATTTATTATATATTATTTTTAACTATAGACCCTTTAAAAGTATGTAAACAAGAATAGTCGAAATTCTGTAATGGAAGCAACTGGAGGCAAAAGGGAAGTGGAACATAATGTTATTTCAGTGGAGAAACTAGGATTAACTACAACATTCAGGAGGATAGAGTAGCCAAAAAATTTACTGAAGTAAGAGTAATGTTACTGCAAAATAATATTACTGAAGTAGAAGTATCCAACAGATTACTTAAGTAAGAGTAACTTAAAGAGTAACTCAGGACGTAACATCTGATTTATAATTTGAAGATAATGTATTTTGAAGGACAAAACATCAAATAATGCACAAAATCTGGTACTTTCAAAGGATCAACACAAATATTAGAAAAATGAAGTAATATCTGAAGGAGCGCTGCAAGAAACACAAATATTCAAATCATTTATTGTCAACATAAAGCTTTTTTTCACTTGAAGACGAAAGAGGAACCAAAACCTTTACTCAAGTTAAATATTATCAAGTAGGGTAAAAGTATACTGTGAGAAAAATACTCTGAAAAGTACAATTTCTGTATAAAAGTAAATGTAACTGAGTACTACCCACCTCTGACAATCACAATCACAAATTATGGCAAACTACTACTCGTATTTACATTAATTGTATTTGTTAAATCCGCTTTTTTAGGTTTTACTGGACAAATGCCCATAGAAATGTCGACTCTACGATAGACTTTTCATCTAACTATTTATGTTACATCCTCGATCATAAATTATAGGCTACTTTTTGAGCAGCAAAAATACTATTTAGATGCAAGAACAAAGCATTTTTTTAAAATAATTGAAATAGAAAAACAGACTGACTGACATTTCTACGCAGGAAACTAAAAATGGTTGCTTATTTTTTGTAAAATTATTAATATTTAGATCAGCCAAAATGTGTTATATTTTTATTTAAATTTTTCCTACAGTTGCTTCCATTTCAGAGTTTTGAATATCCCGATGACACAATATTTTAATGGGTCTGTTGATCTGGTATGTGGTATAAGTCTTCAAATTTCGTACTGACAATGAAACTAATGTATATGTTACTGTTCATAGACCCCAGAGCACTGTATCGTACCCCTAAAGACACTGCCATTTTATCATATATAAGAATGACCTTTTTTTATTTTAGCACTTGCAGATTAGCCAAATATGAGACAGCAACAATCACATTAATAATATTATATTGTAAGGTGGACAAAGGTTGTAAACTAGAGCAGAAATATAAAAAGAAATTCTATTAGAAGTGAACATTTTTAAAGAATATTTAAAGTATTGTCTGTGTTTTATGAAGAATTCTATATGAAACAATCAGAGTCGTGGATTAAGGCTTGTGATCATTTAAAGGGAATGTCCGCTGTTTTGTAAAAGTGGTTTGAATGTAGTTTATTAAAGGTGCTTTGCATAGCTTTTGATAGAAGATACGCTTTTTTCCACAGAGATGCTATTGCTTTGTCTGGAATGTTCCTCAGTATGGCTTTAAACGTATCTATCTAGTATACTATCTCAATTTGGATGTTTTTCTTGTTTGTTACTGTGAGCGTGGATGCCGATAGATGCGTTTAATGTTATACTGTGGAACATTACAGACAAAGTAACTACATTTCCATGGAGTCAAGCAGGTGAGTGTTGTATCCTCAACCAGAAAAGTTACACAATGCACCTTTAATGTAGGCAATTAGATTTTGATGTTCTAGCTGAAAATCAGTTCTCAGCGTTAGACTGAGGTAAAATGAGCAAGAATGAGAACCAGAACTGAGAACGACATGGAAACAAGCCCAGACAGTTGTTTCTTTATCATGGTTTAACGTCACAGCGAGAGAAGGAACCAAGTGGGCGGGGCTAACAGTCTAAAAGTTCATTTTAAAACTCACTCAAGCAACAAAATCACATATAGACCTTTTAAGTATTTTTTTCTATAAATTTAATCCTTCATATTTCTGAAAATAATTACTGAAACTGTGCAATAAAATAAATATATATATAGAAACCTCTTTTACCAAGACAATCCCTTTAAGTTATTACAAATAAAGGAAACAGCTCCATCTAGTGGCTCATTCGTGCTACAGGTTTGGATGTTGGAAAAGAAGTGACAATGCATTTATCTATCAGATGTTTTTTTGTTGTTTTTTTTCCTTAAAGATGCACAAGATGTAACTTTTCTGTTTGACACTGCTTTTATAGTCTTCATGGAGATTTTATTGCTTCCCTGGAATGTTCCACAGTATGGCATTAAACCTATCTTGAATTACTTTAAATACACATGTTTTTAGCGCTCAGATGTACTTTTTAAAAACATGCATTCTTGTTGTGAGCACCTCTCCATAGATTTGACCTGTAACTTGGTCTTGTGGACTGACCTGTTTGTCTCCATGGAAACAGATAGGTTTAATGGCACACTGTGGAACGTAACAGGACAAGTCAACTCCTCCCGAAAAGTTACACAGCGCATCTTTAAACACAAAAAGTTAAAAATGTATCAGATATATTTATTTATTTATTTATTCATTCATATATTTAACATTTTCATACAATTCCACATTTTATTTTGTATTTCCATTGCTATTTGGAGAGACGTTTTGGTTGAGAATTTGACAACGAGCAAATGAAGCGAGATCTTGTGTGTTGAATTAACTGGCTGCTGGTTTAACTGTGCTTTGACTTTACCTCTGAAATCTCAAAAAAAAAAAAAACTCTTTATACCACGTTAACTATTCATGGGTTTCAGCTTCCTGTCACGGGCGCCATTTTGAGGACTTTTAAAAGATAAGATTTAAGATATTTTGTTTTCGAATCGCGAATCGCTCTAGTAACAGCGTCCGTTTTCGAAACCATCGCTCTGAAACCTATGGATAGTGCTTTGATAGCGACGCATTATCAGACTGGTCACTGTACCACAACATGTGTAGCAAAAACAAGTGCCCAAGTCTTCACAAACATTAAGAAAACGCACACATAAACGTATATAAAAACAAGATGGCTGCATGCATACACACATGTAGACTCTTCCAATGCACTTTGAATAGCAGTGCAAATATGGGACACGCTATATATACCAACATATTTAAAAATGGACTTTGGATATTATATCTGGGAATAACTCTCCCAAACGGATTTTTATTTATTTAATAGAAGATCAGTGGAAGAGCTGTGGATTTTGGGACGGGACAACCACACGAACTGCCAATTATCATATAGAGACTTTATACTGTCCCAA